CATTTAGGCATTTTGACATTATTTAGACTTTCAACATCAATTTGGACTTTTGATGTGATCAATCAATTTAGGCTTTCAACATCACTTTAGACTTTCGACATGCCTAAATGTTGAATGACAAAATGTTTCAACAAAGCTCAAAACGTTTCGACTAACAACTCTAAGGTGGACAGGCAAAATTTAAAGGAAGATTCCTTTATACCAGGGTTGGCAAATGTGCAGTCCATTGATGGTCTATTGGTGGTCCATTGGGTCCAAAATCCATCTGTTCTCAATGGACCAGTCAATTTGCCAACCCTGCTTTATACATGAAGTTTTTGAACCTGTGATCAAGCCTTTTTTCCATGACACTAATTTTAAATGTGAATGGTAATTTTTGATACTATTTTTTCTTTATTTTGTATTGTAATTATATTGACTAATTAGAACGCAATCATATATTACAATTATGTGTTATTGAATTATTTCAGGTCAACCAATGTTCTAGAGGCATCTGTACATAGAAAACACAAATTTGACCCTTCACTACAAGGAAGACAAGCAGATTTTTCCATATATGTACCTATTAAGGATAAAAGGATTTATCTGCTTACTTCAGAAATAAAATCTGCTGATTATATGGTATCAAATAAAAATAAAATTACTTGGAAGATTGCGATCTTGTAAAACTGGGAAATGAAATGAAAGATATAATCGACAAGTGTATTGATGATGGAATTAAAAATAACGATCTAATAATTTGTGGTTTACTGGTGGAAGGCAAGTTATTTACATTGATATTTAAAATAGTATCAATGTCTACAATCTAATTTGCATTTTCTTTTATTCTTGTGTTAGGTTTTCAACGCTGCATATACGTCATGGATTTAAAATATGAAGCTATATACCGAATGATTCTTTTAGGAAAATTTTATCTCCCTTGGGATAACTCTGATCTTGGCGTACTCATCACTTCAATAGAATGCCTTATGGAAGTAAAAGTTAGTATACAATGTATAATAATTTTGGATTTTATTTACAATCTAATTTTTTTTCTTTTTTTTTTTTTCTACAAAAGAACATAATGGCCTGTTCCACCGAAATCTGTAAAAAAACTATTAAAAACTTATCTAAACACGAAAAAATTCAAGGCAATGCAAATTTAATTAATAATAGAATGACATGATTAGTGTTCCATGTCGCAATCCAAAAAAGGAAACCAAAGTGGTTGCAAAGGTGGTTGCAACCATCACCAAGAATTGCAACCAGTATCTATAGACACAATTGTCTTTTCATTCGCCTTTAAAAGTTCCCAGAGGAAATAAATACAACTAATTACATTTGTAAAGGTTTTTCTGTCTAGAATTAATTTGAAATAGACTTTCAATTTTTTATTCAATTGATGATTGTAACATTTGTAGTATATTAACTATGAATTAATAAAATAACAATAGCCCAAATTGATATTACAAGGTGTGATAGTGTACAGTGATTTTAATGACAGGCCATTGCTAAAATTTTTGCTACTTTAAAGCTACGTATTTTAAATAAATGTATACCATATTACTAAAACATGCAATCTGAGATTTACTCATTAAAACTGAGAACATTAAACTGAAGACCAGAATTGAGGAGCTAAAAAAAATAAAACAGACATATATTTTTTCTGTAATTTTATTTCGATGACACTTAGTCCCACCTAATTTGAAAGGGCAACGAGAAATTATTAGGATTTGTGCCCAAAAACTATCGCTCAAATCTGACGTTGATTTGGAAGAAATTGCTTCCATGACTAAGGGACTAAATGGAGCTCAAATCGTTAACATATTTAATGAAGCCTCTATTTTAAGTATTTGGCAAAATAAAAAATTTATTGATTATGAAATGATTTTTTGAGGTACAAAGTACTGCGCCACGTTACAAAAATTTAATGATCTGCGATCTACATTACAAAACAATTAATAGTCATGTGACATGTCACACGACTATTATGAACAAGTTTAGTATGGTTGGCTCGGTCTAAAGACCTCCTATTGCTGCGCCACGTGCTCAAATTTCAAAAATTGTGATTTTGTGATTCGTTCAAAAATGCAATAAAAATTTTTAAAAAAGGGTTACGCGTGATTTTGGTTAAAAACTATTTTCCTTACTGCCAAATTTAGATATGATGGTCGAGTATTAGGCTAAATTTAGGAATG